ATGATCAAAATAGGTAATATGTCAACCACTGTTCATAAGTGGTTGTTTTGAATCTGTAGCATATATACTATTGTATGTTACCCTGTTTTTGTCTTGGTTTCTGATTTTTGTTCTTGCTTTGGTTTTTACTCTTTAAAATAAAATAAAATTATAAAAAATAAAATAAAAAAGAACAAGTTAAAAAAAAAAAAAAGAATCAAAAATGACCCCACACTGAAGAATCTCTACAAAATCAGTCATCACTGTAAGTATTCACGTTCAGCCGACTAGCCTGGCCCGTGGGCGATGGTGCGCTTGTGCAGGCAGCCACTGCAGGCCTTCTGTGACCTCCTATTCTCTGACTGGCATCTCACATTTGCTTCCAATTCTTTTTAACACTGTGCTTTGTGCGAGGTTTTATAAGAACAAATAACAAATACGAGTCTCCAGCATTCTACTTTCCAAACAAAGGTGTAAAAAAAGGGTACCCAATTACACTTCACAAATGTGTTACCAGGACAAAAACCAGAAACCAAACTGATACCACTTTCTGTCCAAGAGGTTCATGCAGGATCTGACAAAGCAGAGGGCCAGATGAGCCAACCCCAAGTCCTCGTTGCAGCTCCGCAGGGAGGGAAGGTGGGAGACACGGCAGACACCAGAGCTGGGAAGCAGCAAAGAATGATCCTTAAGAGACAGCTTCATATTGCTGAATTACAATAGGTTTTGCTAAAACTTATAGCCATGGGAGGTAGGCTAGTAGCTCTTCTCTGCCTCCATGGTTAATTAGTGCTGGTGGTCGTGAGGGAGGAGAAATGTTTTCACTGGATCCAGATTAGCCCAAAGCACTTGGACACAGAGCAATCAACAGCAGACTCCTGCGGACGAAGCACCTGCTCAGGCAAGCTCAGGGACTGGGGTTAGATCGGACAAGGCAGGAGCACAGCGCCCTGATTACGGGCACTACAGACCACGCCAGCCCCGCCCCTGGGCTTGATGAGCCGGGCCGCAATCCCAGGCGTGGTGGCACACGCCTGTAATCCCAGTGCTGGCCCGGGAGGCTGAAAACAGGAGGATTACCACAAGTCCAAGCTGTGTAGTGAGACCCTGTACCAAATACGTTAAAAAAAAAAAAAAAAAAAAAAGAACAGATTCTTGGAAAGAAACTCTTCCTCCTGGGGGATGGTGAGCCACGGGAAGGAAGCACAGAAATGGGGGACTGTACAGCACTCCAGGGAAAAAACACCAAAGGAAGCTGGAAGCAGCATCAGAACGCTCGCCTATCCTCCTCCGGGGGCTCAGGGAAGAGGTTTTGCAGCTCCCAGAGTTTGGGTGAATCTTGAAATCACTGTAACAGAGGAAAGAAGCGTGGGCCCATCTGAGACTCACAAGAGAGAGGCCCATAATCAGGGTGCTGCCCTCCTACTTCGGGTAAAATCCCCAGGGAAGGGCCCAGCTCTCTGAGCTCACTGCTCTTCAGCAGCACTGCAGGGTCTTGCATGGGAATTCCTCGCCTTGAGGAAAGCTGACTGACAGAGCTACTTCTTAAGGTACTAGTACTTGGCTAAGGGAAGGCTGCAAAATGGGATTGATGTGAGGAAAGGCCAAGCGATGGGCCCTCAGGCATCTTTAGATCTCCCCGCTCTGATCCCACCATTTTATAGTGGAGCAAGTGAAGCTCAGAGGGTACCGGTCTCGAGGGCACAGGAGCTGCTAGAATCAGGCTCAGGCGCCCAGCCCAGGCCCAGTCCAGGCTCTACATGCTCTGCTCGGGCCCAGCCCACCCCGGTCTCCAGGCTATGACTATGGACACTCAACACCTCACTGGCCCAGACCCAGTGACCAGGACACCCGCCACAGTACAGGGGCTTCCTAGGACTTAGGCTGCTGTGTCACAGTGCAGAAAGAGCTGTGGCCCAACCAGTAAAACCGGTTCTGTGCCAAGACCTTTTCGACAGTTCTGCCAGAATCAGGATCCCTGGAGTCTGGGAATGATCCTCAAACCTGCTGTACCTATAAGGTTTAACATTTTCCCTGGCCAGATGTTGTTCCTATAATCAAACTCGGCTAAATGAGTTAGGGTTGTGCGTCCTCTCCTTTCTTCCATTTTTACAAGAGGAAAGAGAAATAGCATGCAAGTCAGCTGCCACAGAAAGAAGCACACGTAGGGGGCCAGGGAGATGGCTCAGTGGAATAAGCACTTCCCGGCAAGTGCAAGGGCCTGAGTTCAATCCCCAGTTCCACAAAAAAAAAAAAAAAAAAAAAAAAGAAAGCAGCACACGTATGCCTTGGAAAAGTCTATAATCCTTATCATTAGGTCTTGGTTACACACGTGTAGCAAGACTACTGAATACTGGACTAGTGTGGGTGTGTGTGTGTGTGTGTGTGCGCGCGCGCATGTGTGTGTAATCTTAACTACCCAAAAGCTACCCTTTAACAATGTCATCTTGGGGAATGCCATGTTCTCACACAAGGGTACATTGCTCTGTACTTCTGCCCCTCTTTGGTCATTTCCTGCTTCAAGGCTGGTTTACAAAATCTTGTGTGGGGAAAAAACAAACTGCATTTGTAACCTTCAAATGACACTGTCCAACTGATTGATACGCATTCACTTTTGAATCCCAGTGACTTCTGAGATTTTTAAACACACCCTCAAAGATCAAAATTTAATTGTTCTGTAGGCAATTTCAGAGGATGCTGCAATCTCCTTCAACAGTGGGGACCAAGCCCACCTTCCAGCACTCCAAGGACCTCCAGAGCATAGGGACTGACTCTGGTGGGGACAGTGCCTCAGACTTCACAGCGCCACACTTCTCAGATGCAGAGTCAGGGAGAATCACATGGCGCTGAGTCTGGTGGGGAGCGACACCTGCACAGCCACCAGGGAAGATTCCAGGATCACGATGTCTAGGGAGCAAGAAAAAAGGCAGCCAGGGCCACAGGAGAGCCTCTTGTAGGCAGACTCAGGCCTCAAGGCATCCTGAGAAGGGAGTTCTAGAAAATAACCACCTGACCCTTAAATGTGGAGAAAAACATTAAAATTTGAAATATAAGTAAAAGGTGGAGGGGTATCAAGTCTGCATCTACTGCTCACCCAAACCACAGCATCCTGGGACACTGGGGGAACCCCTACCTTACAGCCTACAGAAGCCCTGAGTACCAGCAGGAAGCTGAACACAGCTGTAACTGTTCCTGAAAGCAGCAGCAGTACAGCTGCAAACAGCTGCCTGGGACAGGGACACCACAAGTTTTTGTTTTGCTGGAAATGCTTTTTTCAACAATTAGGCTGTTTTGTTTTTTGCAATCTGCTTATTATAAACTCAATAATATGCTAAAGAAATGCCTTAGGATCTGCAGATTTACAAAATTCAATCAGCCTCCATAATGAAGTAGATTTAACTTTTATGATTTTTCTTTAAAAGCCCTTCAGAGGTTTAGAGAATATTATTTGTAACTTTTTTATTATGTATTGATTCAACCTCATACAATTGCAACCACCAAGTATTAGTCATTAAAAATATACACCAAAAAAATAAAACCAGTTTTCTGAGAGTGCCACAGAAGTCCCCAAGCCACTTGCCAGGCGCGTGCGAGCTTAACCACGTCTGACTGGACAGCACACATCCAGGGAGGGAGGGGAGCTCCCCTTGGGGCAGGTGAGGGGCCCTTCTCAAGGAGGTCACCACTAAGCACAGCGCTTACATGCAAGCCCAGCAACCTGCGCCACCACAGGCGGCATGAGGCAGGCATGAAGGGGAAGGTCACAGCTTATGCCGATCGCCGGCCTGACTCCGAAAGCCACTCGAGGGACAGGGTCCCATCTCCTTCCAGATGACCCTAAGGTGACACCACCTGTCCCTGGTCACACTGTCAGGAGGTCGTTGTGCCCCTGCCTCCCTCCCCAGGGCATGGGACCAGGATGCATCATTACCCAGTGTGGTGCCTGATGTGGCAGTGACACTTGCAAGTCTCCCACTATCTGTCCGTCCGCCCGCTCCTGACTTCAGGCACTGCCCCAGAGAGATGCTGTGACTTGCTAAGGACTCTCAGCAGCCCGGCTGGACCATCACACAAACAGCCTCTCAGCAGGCGTGCCCACGACCTCACCCCAAAGTGGCTGGGGACAGTGGGCTGGAGGTGAGCGCTGAGCTCGGCAGGCACAGGGACCTCGGGGACACTGTCCCTGCGGTGACAGCACTCTGTGCTGGGTGCCCATTTGGGTCACCTTTGCCTGGCCTAAAGTCCATTTCATCGACACTGCTTTCTGCACCAGTGAAACAAGACAGTGATTTGTTTCCTGGAAGCTGCGTCTGTAGACGGGCAGCTTCCTTTCTCGCCAGCTCACCCCACTGCAGAGGGCAGCAGTGAGGCACTGACAGGATGAGCATGCTCTGACCTTCTCGGAGTGCAAAGGCAAAGCTGCCCAATCCCCTGGCTGTGCATGACTGAAGCAGAACACAACCACCCCCTTAACTGCTGAGCCAAGAGCGGGACTGAGGCTAAGGAACAGGGAAAGGCACAGCACAGTGCTGAAGGGCAGGGACTTCCAGATAATCAGAGAGTGGGGCTGGAGCCCGAGTGTGGCCATCAGCAAGTCTGCCTTCTTGTACAAGCCAGCGGGGGAAGGGGGAGGTGCCCGGTGCACCCACACCTGCGGCCCCGCACCCTTCCCCTCAGCCAGGCCTGGGGCCGCAGATCCCTCACCCCAAGAGGCTGATACCAAGCTGGCCCTGTGTCTGGAAACTGCAAGGAGACCCCAGAGAACCGCAGACACTGCAGCGCAGGGCAGGAGGGCTCCTGGCGAGGTTCAAGACCCCAGGCTGCAGCTTTGCGCCCTTTCTCTCCACCCCCTCACTCTCCGCACACGGGGTTGGATGTGACTTCTGGAACAAGGGTTCTTTGCTTTTCTCTGGCCCTAGTCATAGGAAGTAGCCTACAGCAGGTTTGGGCACAGAATGTTCTGTCGGAATGGGGTGCTGTTGGAAAGGACGAACGTGAGTGGAAGTGACATACTCACTCACCTTGGCCTCTTCGTTTACATCCCAAGTAAAAGAAACGGCATTGTATGCAATCTCTTCAATGTTTCCAATTGTGTTGAAGCTTTCCTTGTAATCAGCTGCAATGTTCAAAGAGAAAAAGGAAGGAGTTTTGTGGCATGAATTTCCCGTCAGGCAAATGTAAACTCTACCTATTTTTCCAGCTGTCCGCATGGCTGCAGTCGAGGACCTGTGCTTATTGATACTAGCCACCATTTATTCCCTGAGCACACAAGCACACCCTTCTCTTAAAATAGGAAATCCAAGGGAAACAACATCTGTATCTGTTTATTAGCTTGCCTTTTTACCCGATCTACAAAACTATTAAAGTTGATCCTTCTGAGTCCTGCCCACTCTTCTCGCTAGGCACTTTTCTGCCACTTAGTGTGCTGATGTAGAGGACTAGGTAGGGCCCCTCCTTCCCTCCCCCTCCCTCTTTCTCTTTCTCTTCCTCCAAACCCTGTGCCAGGGAATGTCACCAAAACTTTAGTAAAGAAACTACAGGAGACTGCAAGAATACAAATACATTTTGTAGGATGCTGATGATACAACCCAGGGCCCCACACATGCTAAACTCCAACTACCAGTGAGCTCCACCCCAGCCCAAGGGAAACACTTTTAAGTGTTCTTTTCAGACCCAAATACAGAGTTGGGTTGCTCAGACTTGGCACACACTGACAGGGGTCACTGAGGCCCTCCCCTACTTCTTACCTGCACATGTCTTTCTCCTCAAACCCTACAGACCCCCCAGGAGCAACACCGTAAGTGCGCTCCATGTACATTCTGACGGACCATGCCGGCTTGCTTTGCTTGTCCGTGCAGCTTGACTGTTCATAAAATGTGCGGTTCTACGACGAAGGTTGTTGATTCAGCAAATGTCTCAATTACACATATTCTAAAAAAACTATTGGTTCTTTATAAAAACTCAAATTTAGGGCCAGGGAGATGGCTCAGTGGAATATGTGCTTCCCTGGCAAGCGCAAGGGCCTGAGTTCAATCCCCGGTTCCGCAAAAAAACAAAGGAAAAAAAAAAAAAAAAACCCTCCAATTTAACCAGGCACAGTGCATTTTTATCTGGCGAGTCTCACTGGGCACTGACTGCTTCTCCCAGAGTCGGGTCCTGCAGTGGTCTCTCTGGCAGAGCAGACAACACTAGGATAAAGTCCTTCCTCCTTGGAGCAGTTGGGATGGCTAACCTCGGGAGACTGCTGTCTGTGCCTCCTGAACCCAGAACAGGGTGTCCTTACACTTCAAGTACAGAACCCATACTTTAACCCAGAAGTACCTGCGTTCCCACAGGAGAGTCCTGGTGGGGACAAATAAAAACACTTTAAAGTGACCACACTCTCGCCCTTCACAAACAGTCACTATAAACATACCCTGTTACTTTGTTTCTCCCATCTTCACTTCTCTCCAATGGATATAAAAGTCCTTATACTACATTGTAACCGTTACTTTTTAATTTGCTTTTTGTTGCTGCTATTACTTAGCACACCACTGGCCTCTTCCACATCAAGATGCTTAAACTACTATCAAGGTAGAAAGAAATAGGGCTGTATTAGAGCACAAGTCACAACTTCATTTTGCTCTCGTCACTTGTTCGAGGCTGCTCAGCACTCCGCTGCCTCCAATGCCATCCCATTCCGGTATCTTTTCAGCTAAAATTGTACACACACTTAATCAGACTGCACTAAAATATTCTCCTGCGTTGGCGGAAATGGTGGATACAGGTCAGTGGCAGAGCCAGCTCTAGACCCTGGTTTCAAAGCCAAGCACCAAAAAGTAAAAGAAAGGGTGCGGCGGGCAGAATTCTTTGAAGTGACAATAGGGAAATATATTTTTAAGGCTAACTGCTTTGGTCAAATTGGTCCTGAAAAGGCTGGAAAAATTATGTCCACAAAAACAATGTCCTTCTCCTTCAAACTGTGTCTCCAGACTCGCAGGCAAAGCCTGGCTCCTCACTGCTTCAGTTCCTAATTCCTTGATGGCTAGAGTTTGAACAGGCTTTCGTTTGGCTTCTGGCTGTGGAAATTTCTTCTTACTCACTTGGTCTTAAAATCTACTCATTCATTAGTATAGTTTCTAGTTTGATCTTTTGCCCATTTTTCTCTTGACTTTTTGATTTTTATTTCATTTTACCACTTGATAGTTTCTTTTAAAATAATCACTTCAACTGCTTGATAGTAGGAAAAAAAAAAAAAGAAACATTAAACAACCACCCCTCCCCCCAATAAAAATCTTAGTTTCAGAATGTTTTAAAATGCACAAGGCTGGGGAAATAGCTCAGTGGTCTAAGCGCCCGCCTGGCCAGCTTTTAAAAGGTCCCTGGTTTGATCCCCCACAACATATGCTGTGCTGGCCCTGGAACCCCAGGTGCACCGTGCTGGCCCCAAAACTGGGTGTGGTGGTGCATGCCTGTAATCCCAGAGCTGAGGAGGCTGAGATCAGAGGATTATTGAGTGCAAGCTGTATAGTGAGACCCTGTATCCAAAAAAAAAAGTGTAAGAATTTCAAGCTCTCGCTTGGTTTCGATGGCATTCTGTCAAAGTTCCTGAGAATCTGGCAGAGCTGCAGTCGGCCTTGCTGCCTTCTCTCCTCCTGGCTGTCTTACGCTGCTGTAGAGCCCAGTGCCCAGTGTCCAGTGCCACTGCTTCTATTCACACTTTGTTACTGACTCTAAAATAAATACTTAAAGAGAAAAGAGAAAAAATAATTTTACATCCTGCAAATTTAGAATAACGTGCCACAATTTTGTTTGGGATAATTTAAAAATGTATACCTTTGCTTCCAGCCCTACAACCTTTCACAAATTTGAGGAAAGAAACAAACCACCAGTGAATTTCCTCCTGCTTTCAGCCTCCCTAGTGCTGGGATTACAGAAGTGCACCATCACCCCCACACTGCATCACCGGCTTAGCGTGCCCAGGGGCGGGGCCCGTGTGGCATGCTGTGCCCGGGATCAAACCCTGGCTGGCCCCTGTGCTTACCTAAGCAAGTGCTTAGTCTGCTGAGCTATCTTGCCAGCCCTAAAGCTACCATTTTAAGTTTTAAAACAGCAGTTACTTACTATAAGCAAGAAGGCAAATGTGATGCCTAGAATTTAAGGTAAACCAAGGTGGTTATTAGGGCAAGTGTTTGAAATAATCATCATGAGGTTTCACTGCATCTCTACTTAAAAAAGTTCTCTTCTAAGCCAGGCATGGTGGCACATGTCTACAATCCCAACATTGGGAGGCTGAGGCAGGAGGCTCATGGCAAGTTCAAAGCCAGTCTGGATTACAAAGTAAGACCTTGTCCAAAAAATAAAGTATGTGCTGCAAACATGTACTAATGAATTTTTTTTTAACTAAGAAAAAGGAAAAGGCCATTATAGAACCAAATAAAACTCTTTCTGTGGGCTGGGGGCGTGTAACCTAGTGGTACAGCACTTGCCAGCAGAGCAAGGTATTCCGTTCAATCCCCAGCACTGCAGGCAGAAACCCTCACCTCTTGGCCCCCAATCTCATGCAGATTCTTTCCACACTCACCAGCCAATGACACAGACAGAACCTTTTTGTGTGCCCACTATGCCCAGCAGTGCAAACACAAGTGAGAAATAGCAGGAACCAAGATGAGGTCCTTAATCTTGTGGTTGTCTCAGTACAAAAAGTCAAAGAAATGCGCAAGAAAATCACTCTTCCTCTGCTTCACTTGGTGCCCCAATTAATAATGGTTATTATATTGCACATTGTTATCTTCATAGTTGCTCAGATTATTATAGATAGACGTGCAAAACTGATCAAACAGTATAACCATGGAGAAGCCTTCTTTAAGAAAGCTTGGGCAGCAGGTTGCTGAGTGTCTTTCCTTCCCCTAGGGCCTAAACCCTTGAGCACACACCCCTACCAGAGAACAGGTATATACAGCTTTCACGCACAGGAGGGATCAGTACTTCATTCATTGGACAAAATAATGTGGTGCACCCTACAGGCGGGGAGGGGAACAAACCCTTCGTGTGTCATGGGAGAGTCCACTGAGCCTAGTTTCACTGGCTTTATTTAAGTCACTTGATTTATTTGTCTACAACTTCATGAGCATTCTCATGAGCTACACACAGGGCAAGGAGCCCAGCTGGAATACAATTGCTTTCTCAAGCTTAGTATGAAATTGTAGAATGAATCAATCACATCAATGACTGAGTAAGTGCATCTAGCCATAGGCGTCCTGAACAAAAGCTAGAGACCAGTGTTGTGGCCTCCTGGGGACTCTCCCATGACACACGAAGGGTTTGCTCCCCTCCTCGCCTGTAGGGTGCAGGATAGCTATGCTACAGCACATTATTTGTCCAATGAATGAAGTGCTAATCCCTCCTGTGCGTGAAAGCTGTATACCTGTTCTCTGGTAGGGGTGTGTGCTCAAGGGTTTAGGCCCTAGGGGAAGGAAAGACACTCAGCAACCTGCTGCCCAAGCTTTCTTAAAGAAGGCTTCTCCATGGTTATATTGATTGGTCAATTTTGCATGTCTATCTATAATAATCTGAGCAACTACTCTGAAGATAACAATGTGCAATATAATAACCATTATTAATTTTCTGTATCATTTTTATGGTTTTTCTTTTATTCTCTTTAATAAAATTTCTCCAGCCCAAATTTGGAAAATGTTGAGAGCAGCTGCCTACAAAAGGTATTGTTACTATTCTACAAAAGGTATTGTTACTATTCTACAAAAGGTATTGTTACTATTCTGGACAAATAATGTGGTGCACCCTACGGGGGGGAGGGGAGCAAACCCTTCGTGTGTCATGGGAGAGTCAAAGAATAGAAATGTATTCTATCAGAGTCATGGATGTCAAACTCTGAAATGAAGGTGTGGGCAGGACTGGCTCCTTTCACAGGGTGTGGGGACAAGGGTTCCAGCCCTCCTGGCTCCTGATGGCTGTGGTCCATCACGCTTTGGGAGGAGCAGCCGGGCCACTCAGCCTCACCTGTCTTAACAAGGCCTTCTCCCAAGTTGTGTGTTTCCTTTTCTTTTCTAAGGACCAGTCTTTTATCTCATCATAAGCCCTTTCTCTGAAGCTTATCTGCAAATACCTTTACCCAAA